GCCCTGTGCCATGCTCACGGTGACTTATGTCTGAGCCCACTGCAATGCCCACTGTGCCAACCCAACTTATGGAAGGCCTTCCTCTTTACCCTCATGATGCCCTCCTCTGAGACTGGTCTCACCTGACAACATGTCCAACGAATGTGGTCGGAAGTCTCCCCATTTTTGCCTCTAAGGAGCATTCTGGTTGTACTTCTTCTAAGAGAGATTTTTGTGTGTGTGCTTTTGGCAGTTAAGGTACTTACACAATGTCATGTCAACTTGATAAATAGGAATGAAGGGATGGAGCCTAGCCTGTCAATCAGGTCACAGCCTGGCGCTCCCTGCTTGTCAGAGAGACTTTCTAATGAGGATTCTGGGACTTCCTCTCTTGTTGCCCTCTGGAAGTGGGACACACTCTCTTTCTCTGCTTCTCATGTCTGTTGACAAGCCACATGGAGCCACACTGATGGCAGTTAGAGCCCTGGAGATATGTCCACTGTCACTGGACCCACAGGACTTTCCACCCACTGGCCTGTGGTCTTCCTCCATTCAGCATCATTCCATGTGCTGTGTGAGTCTGAATAAGAATTCATGGGCTAATATCAGATTTAACATCGAATTTATGGCCTTGATCTGCACTTGGCTGGGATGTTTTATCGATGCATAATTCTTGATATAAAGTTCTCTCTTACATATAGATGATTGTCTCTGGATTGGTTTCTCTAGTCAACCTGGACTAGCACAGCAGTCCAGGGTACTTTCAATATTCCTCTCCAGCATTATCATTAAATGCACTGGTTAACTTCCGGTCTTCCTTATTCACAGACAGCAAGGCTTCCCGCACCACAGCAACATGCATGTCATCCTTGTATGACCAGCTGACAGAGCAGTAGGCGCTTTTACATGTATCTGTTATATAAGAGGGAGCCCTGGTGGCACATGGATTAAGCCCTAGGCTGCTAACTGAAACATCAACCATGGGGACCCACCAGCGCCTCCAAGGGACAAAGGAGTGGCAGTCTGCTTCTCTAAAGGTGAAGCCCTACAGGACACAGGAGACTTCCTGCGCTCGGGTTTCCAGATGGTAAATCTGTCGGGAAGCAGACTGTCTCGTCTTCCTCCTCCAGAGCCGCTGGTGTGTTCAAACTGCTGACGTTTGGGAGCTCCTTTGACACTCCAGTCAGACAGGTA